CCTCGCAGAGTGGACATGCACGGCATTTCCACTGAGTGCCTTGCGGGCCTCCTTCTCCTGTTGTGTGGGGAGCCAGTGCTGCCCAGGGCCCCACCATGGCGAGGGTCAGAGCTGCAGTGAGCCACCTCCGCTGTCCAGCTGCCAGGGTGTCAGCCCCTCTCCCCACCCAGTGTTCCCCTGCTCTTGCTGGTTGCTGTTCTTAAGCCATTGGACTTTAAAATGTCAGTGTACAGAATGTACCTATGTGACCTAGCCAGTGACAGGCCCCTGGACCCCTCTCCGTGACTACGGGTCTGCCCCTTGTTGGTTGGACTGAGTGAGTCTCCTTATCAGGGAGCCCTCACCTGGTCCACCGGGGGGACGTTTACTGTGTGTTTTGTGTGTGTGTGTGTGTATATTTTTATTGATGTGTAGTTTATAATGTGTCAATTTTTGGTGTAAAGCATAATGCCCTTTCTTTAGGACCTAAAGACCTCCTTTTCGATCACTGCATCCTCTCCTGTCCATCAGTGGACTTCGTGACGTGTCTCTTAGACTTTCGACTCAACCTTGCCTCAAACAGAAGCACCGTCCCCTGCCTGGCAGCGTCTCTGGTGGCCTGCGTACAGCTGAGTGCCTCAGGTAACGGCGCATGTGTTTCCAGGTCCGTCCTGCTCTGTGGGAATTGTGGTCATCCTCTGACCCTCTCTATCGCTCATTTCACCTGCCAGTCACAGAATGTGGGCCCTTCAAAGAGTAAGGGAGCAGCTTACAACTGAATTTGGGCAGTTAACATGAACAGGCTGTTTGGAGACTACGATGGGAAACGAGAGAGCTTTGGTGTGAAACATTACGTTGCGGTTTCCAGACAGCTGACCCTTCAGGACTAAAATGTTGGCTTTAATACTTTAAACTCCTAAATTGTTACCAAGCCCAAGCTCACTCTGCTTGCAGCACGACAGGCCAGTAAATCCGGAGATGAGGTATGGGGGCAAGGAATAGTGACTTTACTCGGAAAGCCGGCCGACCGAGAGGATGGCAGACTGATATTTTGGAGAACCATCCTGCTCCAGTCAGAATATAGGCTCTTTTTCTACAAAAAAACAAGGGAGGGGGTGTGGTTGGTTGTTGCAAACTTCTTGCTGCAGGAATTCTTTGTTCTTGC